AAAAGACCTCGAGGACTTTGAGGCTTTTAGTTGCTAAAACTGACATAGAAATGCGCAGAGCCGGAGTTTTAATTTAGCAGTAGCTGCAGTTCAGTCTTGAGCCTGGGACTATGGGTGATTTTAGGTTGCTGTCTGGGGTCATGATGCTCTTGTTTGGTTGCCCGCTCTTTGTGTGTTGCTCACCCGTCTTGCTCCATTGCAGAGCTGTGTCCCTTGCAGAGCGATGTCGTGCTACCGGGATCTGTGCAGCTCCTCCAGCGTAGCGCCCTGCCGCGTGTCCTGTCCCCAGCCCCTTGCTGACACCTGGAACGAGCCCTGCGTCACCTCCTGTGGGGACTCTCGTGCTGTAGTCTACCCGCCACCCGTCGTCATCACCTTCCCCGGGCCCATCCTCAGCTCCTGCCCGCAGCAGAGCGTGGTGGGATCCTCAGCACCATCTGCCATTGGAAGCACCTTGGGTTATGGGGCCTCTTTTGGCCACAGAGGCTCTCTTGCCTATAGGGGCTCTCTGGGCAGCAGGTTCTCCTCCTGCTCTCAGAGGTCCCAGTGCTACAGCTCCAGAAGCTCTGAGCCCTGTGACATCCAGCAGGAATACACCCGCACCAGAAGCAGTCAGGACACCACGTGCAAGACCCAGACTCAAGAGTGAGATGAGGAAGAGGGGTCTGTAAGTCACTGGTGCCACAAAGGCTGATGTTCTCCCAAACTTTGCCATACTTGTGCTCATATCTGCTGATGCATTTCTCGTTTCTTAATTATAAATGTATTCCTCTTTCTTTTTTTTCCTCATGGTCCACATATTCAAACACATTAATGTTCCTTCTACATTTAGTCTAAAATTGTAAAATGAAGCAGTTTCTGTACTGTGGTTTCTTGCACTTGCCACCTCCTGATGTCAGTCAACGGGGATGTAAAGAGATGGAAAGTGGACCGCACTGTGAATTGGCAGAGAAGAAAGCTGTGCTTGAAATGAAGCTTCCTGATGCATGAAAACCTACTTGACCATTTTCTTCATCTTCTGTATGATCATGTTTTACCAGTGTAAATTTTGCTTCTCCTATTAAAGATCCCACTGCAGCATAATATTTGCATTCTGGTTTTGCTTTTATGAATCAATATGATGGAGATAATCATGTTCATCCATAACTAGGGAAGCCCTGTGATAAGGGGAAGTGAAGACCCTTAGCCACTCACCTCCTCGTACCAGTCCTCTACCCAGTGAGGGATTTGCCCCTGTGTTTTCCTTGTTTTAGCTCTCTGGAGGACACTAATCTGGATTGGTAGAAAATTGCTGGGAACGGAAAATGTAGGAAATGGAGGAGAGCCCTCATGTTCAATCCCAGACCCATTGGTGGGAGAAGGATGACAAGGACGTGTGACACCGAGGCCTTAGCAGGTGGCTGAGGGTATCTGGCACAGCACAGAGCGCAGGTTAATGCAGATGTCCATAGGAAGACATATGTCGCTGTATCTGCACATATGGACCAGATCTGCCTAATTGCCTTGTTCCTAAAGCACTGAACTTAGCCTACAAGGGCTCAACCTCGAACTCCAGCTGGGTGTTCTTGGAGGAGCAGCTGGCTCTCTTGCAGTGCACCCCTAGGCAGTGTTAACGTTGCAGCAAGGCCCAGCTGGCAGGCTCATGGTTTACCTGCATCTCAGCAATTATTTGTTAGTCCCAGGTGGGCCCTGAGTCAGGAAGTGTTCCCCGTTTAGTAGATGCACCTGGCTTCTTGGCTTCATGGTATCACAGGCAATGAGGATGACTATCTATTTTCTCCCTAAATTCTTGGAAGTTGAATTGAACTTCAGCAGCGTTTGTGCTTGGATGTGCAGAGGGAGGTTTGTTCTGTCCACCTTGCCTCTCATTGCAACTATTTGCTCTAGATCTGCAGCAACATAAAATGAAGACCATTTTTCATCACACTTGTAAAGAAGTGATTCCAGCTCAACTCATGGAAGCTGTTGAAGAACCTTTTGAGTGTCTTTCATTATGTTGCAATGAAATTCAGCGTTTGATATAGATTCTGTTCTAATTTAGTCTATATATGCTTTATGCTAATTCAGCATGTGAAACATACAGCAGTTACTAAGAATCCGTGCAGAGCTGCTTCATACATCATGCTAGACTTGCTTTTGATGGAGCCACTTGGCTCTGAATACTTCTCTACGCCTCAATTGCATTGCCAAAAATGATTATGAAAGGTTCAAGTCCAAGTGCACGAACCTGCCATTGTAGTGTGTGTGTATGGGGAAAATATTATCTTAAGCCTAGGATCCAGAAGCTGTTCTGTGGCCTGGTGCAAATCCTCACTGTGCAGGAAGTGTCTGCAAGCCTAAACATCATGAGTCAAAAGTGTTTTGGGATGTCAGCAGTATCGATGGAGGCTACTTTGCAGCTTTTTCTGTGCCCTTTCAGGAAGGGATAATGGTGAGGAGAGAGATGCCTCTTCAAGAACTACATGATTCACTTGCAGGCAACACCGTCAGTGTCATCACCCGCATTCAAGCAATGTGAAACCAGGTGTGGCTGGGGCTGCAGGAGGGGACTGGGTGGGTTGTTTCCTCAGTGTTCTCTGCTGTCTCCCTGGATCCTCCACCTCAAGGCATTGCTGGCCTGAAGGATGTTACCAGAGGCATTTCCATGGGAATCCCTGCTGCTTTCCTGGGAGGAAGGCTTCCCCAGTCTTCCCATGTGTGTCACCTCCCCACATTAGTCTTGGTGACGAATCAAGCAGTGGGATGTGAATGATGCTCTCTTAAACTCTAAAATATGAAGTAATCAGAAAAATAACAATAAAATCATTATTCAGATGAGGTGTTTGATGTTAGAGTCTCTAAAAAGGGCAGGATTTTAGGGAGTGAAGAATTTGCTTTTTTGATCATATGCAGTTTGGATACGTAGCATCCATCATCTCTGTTGAAAATAGGAGGATTGTAGTTAGCCACTTCCCTCCCGGGGCAGAAAAGCCCATCTCTTCTCACGCCCATGTGTAAGGGAGCAAAATGCCCATCAGCTCTCCTGGGCCAGAAAGGAGACAGGATTTAGGGCCAGAGGACCAGAGGGGCTGAAATAAATGGTCTTCTGCATCGGCTGCGCTTCAGACCAAGGTCTTTGAGGAGTTATTTGTTCTGGCTTCGTTTCCTGACCTGTTTCCTCCCAAACAGTGAGCAGGTCATTGCTCAGGTTGGGAGGGGGGGATAGATAAATTGCACAAGGTGCCTTTAGTAGAGCGATTTGGCAAAGCAAGCTGCTACCCGGGTGTGCCAGGCATCCCAGGAGCTCCCTGCTCTTTTCATATATTCACAGGGAAAGGAGGGAGAGAGAAGAAGGAGGGGAAAAAAAAATCAGATTCATTCCAGAGCAAGTCATCAAATTGACGGGAATGTGGCAAGTGAAGCTCTGATGAAAGGATTTGCTGGACTGCGTGTCAGAGGATGACAACGAGAACGTAGAAGTGATCGGCGCCTCTGATAGCTCATTGTTAATTGGGGCGGTTGCAGGTGGGGTGGATTTCGGGTGGATAAGGCGAAGGAGTCGCACGCRTGAGGGGTGGTTCGCGGCTGCCTGTTTGCCCCGTGCCAGCATAAAAGCCGGCGTTGAACCCGGCTCCGTTCACCGCTTCTCTTGCCTGTGCTGCTGCGAAGAGGTAGGTCTGCATCTCTCTCTCTCTGCATTGCTCTTACACTATTGCTATAGACTTGCAGGATTGCACCTGAGATTGGGCTTGGTATTCTTAGGAATACCTGAAACTTTGCTTCGGAAAGGGTTGTTCCTCTTTTAAGTGTCAGGTAGGGGCGGATATAAGCTATTAAATGTCAGGAAAAGAGTTTTCAGAGCAGTGAAAACTTCAGGCTATGCCAACTCATTTATATGGAGATTTGGTGAATTGTTGTTTATAGTGAGGTCTTGGCACGCCAGATGCAGTTTTGAACCAATTTGCCGGGAAATATTGGAGCGTTGGCCCATGTGAAGGTAATTCCTGTATTCATAAGCCTTCCTTGGTATGATTACTTATTAAATGACTCTAAAATTGAACCAGGAAGACACTTCTACTGATATTGTTCTGTTTTGCTGTTGGCAGTTATTTCTGAGCGAATACAGAGCCTGTCATGCGTTACTGAACRCGCTTGCTTGTCCCAGCTGGCACTTTATCCCAATTCTTCACTCTCAGGCTCCCCTTTTTAAGGGTTTTAGGCAGGCCAGAGATGAAGGAGCCGCAAGGCAATTTTAGAGGTGATTGAGTGGTTTTTATGACTACAGCCCTTGCAGGGACTCAACAAAATGACGCCCAGGCCCATTTYCACCACAAATGGGGTCACTCTGTGGAGCAAGGCAGAACTCCTTGGTATCTGGGTTGCTCCTTATTCTACCCTACAGCCTGGTGCCAGCTGCAGCACGGAAGGGATTTGGGAACATGGGTGTTACTAATGACTTGGCTTGCTGGATTTTTCTTTTTTTCCTCCTCTGTTTGCTCACCACATGGCTCTGGGTCACGCATTCATTCTCAGCCTCAGTTACCGCTTTCCTAAAGCTGGAATAACAAGGAATTGCCTCWTGTAGCAGTTGTAGTGACGAGGGGTGGCACAGGATGTGTTAGTGTCTAATTGCCAGTCAGCAGCTCTATCTGTTTCTGTAGATCTTGTATSGGAGGCGGGGAGGTTCACAAGAAACACAGTGCGGGGGGAAAAAAGTGATTAAAGAAATGGGGATAGCTCGAGCTTAAAGGCACAAGTCCTTCGGCAATTAATGATGACTTTAAGCATCAAATCGGCTCCACAATTAGGAGCCAGAGGAAACAGATCCCCAGGGAAGGGAGGGCATGTGAAGAGGACTAGGAAAGGAACACAGCTGCCAAGGCTACCTGAAGGCATCAGCATCCACCTCACCTTCTCCTGAGCTTTCATTTTTTCTCTCCCTCGCTCGGTTTCYATTTCCTTGGTGTTCTCAGTCTTGTTGCGCTCACGACGTGTTTCAGGCTCGCCTCCGCTYCCAGAAGATGGCTTTCTGCAGAGAGATGATCAGCTCCCGCTGCCTCCCACCGTGCGAGGTGACCTGCCCGCAGCCCATTGCGAACGCCTGGAACCAGCCTTGTGTTACCTCCTGTGGCGACTCGCGAGCCGTCATCTACCCTCCACCCGTGGTCATGACATTCCCAGGGCCCATCCTCAGCTCTTGTCCTCAGGAGAGCGTGGTGGGCAGCTCASCACCAGCTGGCGTTGGGAGCTCCTTCAGATCCATGGGCTTTCTGGGCTCCCAGGGTCCCTACGGATCCGGGAGCTTGTACAATTATGGGAGATCATATTCTTCCTATGGGTCCACCAGGTATGGTTTTGGGAGCTGCAGACCATGCTAAACGTGMAGTGATGGATGAGCAAGGAWCARCCACCTGGCAGGGGCAGACAAACCKTCACAGAACCTGTTCCTGGCATGGCTTTCCAGGAGCAACAGCCCAGCAGCTCTGAAAAATCATGCTTTTGTGAAACTTTAAGATAATGTTTGTATCTAGTGATTATTCTCTCCAGTGGCCTTTGATATCTATGAATTTGTTCTACCAGTGGTCTTTATTTGATTGAAAGTGGGGCAAGACTGCCTAAGTCTTCCCTTGCTTTGAAAAACGGTGCATGTGCAATGTGCAGCCCTGGAACAACTTTCTGGTTAGTCTTTAATGAGACTCTGCCAACTTCTTCTCTGTGTTTTGCATTCTCATTAAYGCCTTCTGCTTTTTACTTCAACATTAAAGTGCTCTGCAACAAAATTCCGAGCTTTCCAGCCTTTTTTTTTTGTCCACCACTACTTGTCCATAAGCCATTCTGAAAGAGAATTGTTCCCTGGAGGACCATCAGGGCACTTTTCAATTGCACCTAGAGTTGGAGGGTTCCCAGGTTCTGTAGGCAGGAGGAAACACATCRACTGACTTTTGCAAGAAAGCAATGCTCAATAGACAAGTTTTGTAACGGTTGCAGCTAAATTTGAAAAAATCCCCTAGGGCAATTGTGGTAACAGGGTGTCTGGGCTGCATGGTAACAAAGCTGAACGCTATGAATAACTTGGAAGATCTTCCCTGTTGTTTCGCCAGTTGCCCGAGGCTCCAACTTCGTTCCACACCTTGTACTGACTTTATTCTAAAATAGCTCATAGTTCTCCAAGCAGAGCTTTCCTTGGCCTGGCCCCATGGTGTTTTTAACTGATGGGTCAATCTCTAATTTTTTTTTTCCGATGGGTACCCCTAAACTTCTTGTAGCCCTGCTTAAAATAAATAAAAGGAAATTTCTTAGATCTTTCTCTTTACCTTCTCTCAGGACCCCCCTTTTTCAAAGGATTGTGCAATGCTCTGCACTTCTTGTTCTTTCCCAATGCAGATTTGTGGTTCCTGGGAATACCTGGAGTGCCTAGGATACCTCCTTGGCCTCCAGCAGGCTAATTCCAGGAAAAGCCTCATCCTCATACCAGAGAAATTCGTATGATCAGGAGCTAACATGTGGCAATAACTTCAAAGTGTTTGGAGGTGTGACTTTTAAAACCCTCTGGAATGAGATGAGGATATGGTGACTTAGGCAGGCAACACCTTTTTTCTTGTCAGGATATATCTAAAGAAGTTGTTTGCTTCTACCTTTTTTACTGTCTCCATTCGTCTGGAGTCCTTGCAACGCTGTGCAAGGGGTGGTACACTTTAGCAGACCAGAGCAATGAAATCAGGGGTCTTCCAGACATAACTCTACGGTGTTGATCACTTTAAAGGATGCATGCAGGGTTTTCTTCTCCTTTATAGGGAATCTTACATATATATATATATAAATAAGATATATATGAGATCTTTGGGGAAAGGGCCTGCAAATGTTCTCAGGAGACCTGGGTGAAGCTTCTCTGCTCACGTCCTTGGAACACTGCAGCATGACACACATGGGACCCAGAGGTTAAAGAGTGTGTTAGTGTGTGTTAATTGTATAATGGACTCTGATAACTTTGAGTAGAGCTAGATAAGGCAGTGCTCTTCCACCCTCTTATTCGCTAAAGTGACCTGGCATGAGGGTGGAAGAAAGTGCAAAATTTGCATTGCTGATTCTCCTGGACCAGCCTGAATTTGCAGGCTGCAACCAAATACCAGGAGAAAGATGGAAGGAAGGCTCTTAAGCTGTTGTTCTTAGAGGACTTTTGACAATCAGTCACCTCTTGCTTACCCAGGTGGCTGCCCTGAACTTGGATTGCAGACACATGTGAGGGGAGTCATCCAGATAAACGCAATGGAAGAGAGCTAATTTCACTGATCTCTGCAGGCATGGGATGAACCCAGGTTGCAGTGGAATGTCATCAATGTGGAGTCCTGGTGGTTCTTCAGCTCCAGCAGTGCTGGGACCACCTATGGCTGCAAAGTGTCTCTTGAGGGAGCTCAGGGAAGTCTAGACAGTCAGCAATAAGTGCCAATTGTATATATATGTATAATATTTATATTACATATATATGTGTCAAGTGTACAATCACAGGCTGGTTTATAAGGATGTTGTAAGCATAGCTTGGAGAATCTGTCCCTCCAAGCAACCAGCTGCAGCTCAAGGTAAGGTAATATCAAGAMATTCAAGGGAATTTCTTATGTCCCGTATGCTACCTGCTGTGTGTTGTACAGCCTCACAACTAGTATAAACAGAAGTCTACAAAAACATTACAGTTTATTTCATTTTCAAAGATTTATCTTTTTTTTTAAAAAAAATATATAAAGAAATTATGAAATAACAAATTTAATGAAAAAGAAATGCTTCTACTTGCAAAATGAGGTATCACAGAAAAATGAAGTCTATTCCCAGGCAGTTTCAGAGGCTGYTCAATGTATGTCCTGCTCAGAGGTGCTGCTTTTCCTGCTTTTCCAGAACCTGATGAGTTTCTTCTGCCTGGGGCAAAGTTGTTGATGATGATAAATGTTCCAGTGTCCTGCACGTTGCAGAGTCTGCTCCRTGGCAGGAAACATAGAAGAGCAGGAGCAAAAAACTACAAACTGGAAGGATCAGCAGCAAAGACCGGGACCAGCGACGAGGAGGAGGAAGAGCGCTGCTGCCCTGCAGCTCTGCACGGCTGATCCTTCCATAAAGCCCTTTTGAAGCTTTGCTGCTGCCCTCGGTGAGGTCTGCAGCTTCCCCAAGACATCCAGTCTTGATGGGCATGGATGGGATGCTGGAGCCGCGGCTGAGGTTGGGGGCGATGCTGTTGAGGAGTTGCCGTCCTGCATCGCTTCCCTGCGGAGGTGGCCCTGGAACAGAGAGGGGTGAGTGGGGCTGGGCCCCACACGGATCTTCTCTTATTCCCTCCTGGAGGACCAAAGTGTCACCGGGATGCTTTGGACTAAAATACAAGCATTCCAAAGCCAACAACTCCAGGAGTGATGCTTTATGTCCTGCAAAATATTCTTGCCCAGATATTCCCAGTGTAATGATATAGATTCATATAGAGCACGGATTAAATGGGGAAAATGCAAGGAGCTGCCTTTTTTGCCCTGGATAATAATTCAGCCTGCGAACTCTTATCCCAGCTTCAGCTTTGGTGGCTAAAGCTTGTGGCTCAGCAGCACTTCTGGTAAAAATCTGGGAATTTATTTTGTTAGTAACGTTATTTTTTAGCCTATCTATAAAAAAACCAAATTACAACTGGAATTGCCTTGCAACAAAATAGCTGTTCAGGTAATAGAATTCCCTACTATGTCATTAAACACAGCCTAGGATGTAGCTGTGCCTCTCCAACCGAGTCATTCACTGAAACAGCACAGGGTCAATCTGCATTTTAAAGCTGCTAACAGAACAAACATGCCCAAATTTGAATTACAGAGGACGAAATTCCTCAAACCCTGTTTTTTTAGAGGCTGACCATAACAAAGCTTGCAAGCAGATTTAAAGGAAAAAAAAAAAAAGAGAGAAAAGGAAAGATTTCAAAAGGCTCAGCAGAAGGGGAGAGAATGAAACTCTAACCTGAATATTACAGTGCAGAGGCCGCTTAGAAAGCGAGAACGTGGGATGCGGCTTACCTGATAACAAGGAGCAGGGATGAGCGGATGGGCGCTGCAGCACCTCTTATACCGCACTGCAGATGGCCGGGGGGCTGGGACGTGCTCTCTGCATGAAGTCACCAATCAGCCCCAATCTCTGCTGCTTTTAACTGCTTCCAGTGATGAAACTCTATTTTTTCCCTTGCTTGCTGTTTGCAAAGCCACCCTAAATCCCTGGAGCAGCCTGATGAGCAACCTGATAGGCACATTCTTGTGTGCGGTTCCCTTTCATCTGGGTGCTTAATTGAGAGGCTGCGGTGCTGCTGTTGCTCCAGCTTCCCTGGGCGCTGCGGGAGGGATTAAACCGGTTCTGTGCATTTAGCACTTCCTTCATTAACGTCCCATAATGACTTTAATCAGATTTGTAACCTGCTGTCATACATGTTTGCATTTAAGCCCTTCTGAGAGAAGTTGCAATCTCATCTGCTCGCACAATTTGTGATTACGTTTGCAGGGAGATGGGAGAGCGCTCCTGATGCTGCTGCCACCCACAGAAGCAGAGCCTGATCCCTCAAACACCAGGAACCACTGGTAAATGACTCCTGAGTTTATAATTGTCCGTGCTGATTGGGGAAAATAGCAGAACACATATTTTAGCAACTAAAACATTTCTAAGCATTCACCCAATCGATCAAAATCTTCTCGTTCTTCTTTTTCCCACATGATAGAAATGGTTTGCTCTTGGATCTGCCTCTCCAGCTTGCAGAGGAATTGGTTGACAGCCTCTCTGGAGGATGTGGAAGTGGTTTTGAAGGTTTTCTTCCCAGACACGCTGATAGGAAACTGTTTATCTTTGCCATGGATTTATGTCTCAGCTATAAAGGAACAGAAGGGTGGGATAGCCTGGGAGGAGATAAAGGAAAACACTTTGTAAGAAGCCTTTTGATTTTTTCCACAGAATAGTCCTTTCCAAATGTGATCTCCAACCTCTCTCATCTTGYAGGGAAGACACAATATTTGGTGTCAGTTATGCTTTATTTGGCACAAATAAAGAGGGATGGAAGGAAAACATGCTGAGGACAGCAGGAGGCAATTGGAGCTAACGTCAGAGCCACCAYGCTTCTGTCAGCTCAACGAGAGCAGCGAAGAAACGAAGACAGTATAATTCACGCTGTCACCCTAATGCAATTAATGGAGCTTTACGGGGAATGAACATCGCCAATTAAGTGCGAGGATGAAAGAAATGTTTGTTTTGGCATTTGCATTTCTTGGGCAGCTGAGAATTTGAACAACAAACGCCAATATTGAGCAAAACTATGTCAGCATTTTGAGGTGAACCGTGTGAGATAAATAGGGGTTGCTGGTGATGTGAGTCTCAGAACTGTGTAGAAAGGCCCCTCTCYCAAATCCTGGTTATTTGCTTCCCTTGCCTTTTT